GGTCAGAGCGATGTAGTGGGAGCTGCAAGCTTCACGTGCTCAACTTTGGCAGAGAACTTTGGCAAAGTTATCTGTGGTACCCATGAGCTATTGTTGCGTGTGGGAAGTGGGTGATTGAACAGTAAGATTCATGTGTTTTCTACTTCCCCAGAAGTCTTCGACATAATGCCCATAATTTCCGCAAAGCTGAGTGTGCGTGTGACAGGTGCTGACAAGGCTGGAAAAGTAGGTGCCTCTTCGATTTCTGAGATCGGCCCTCGTGGTCTCTGGGGAGCCCAGCTTTTGAGAAAGCAAGCGCCTCTTCGATTTCTGAGATCAGCCTTTGAGGTCTTTGAGCAGCCCAACTTTTGAGAAAGCAAACGCCTCTTCGATTTCTGAGATCAATCCTCGTGATCTCTAAGCAGCCCAGCTTTTGAGAAAGCAAACGCCTCTTCGATTTCTGAGCAGGCGCCTCTTCGATTTCTGAAGCTCCGTCGAGTGCAGATTTTTATAGGGGCTGGCATTAAGTTCCAAAGCACACTTGAATCTCCACCAGTAGAAGCTTCATCATTCTTGCACTTCTAAGATCTTGATTTGTCCGACCTCTTCTCTCTTCAACACCTTTGAAAATGTCTGGCCCCTCCGACCGTCGTTTTGACTTGAACCTTGTTGAAGAGGCAGCCCCGCCTTCTCCAGACAACATATGGCGCCCATCCTTCGTCTCCCCTACTGGTCCTCTTACCGTTGGGGATTCCGTGATGAAGAATGATATGACCGCTGCGGTGGTGGCCAGGAACCTTCTCACTCCCAAAGATAACAGACTACTTTCCAAACGGTCTGATGAGTTAGCTGTTAAGGATTCGCTGGCTCTCAGTGTTCAGTGTGCAGGTTCTGTGTCTAATATGGCCCAACGCCTATTTGCTCGAACCCGCCAAGTTGAATCATTGGCGGCTGAAGTGATGAGTCTCAAACAGGAGATTAGAGGGCTCAAGCATGAGAATAAACAGTTGCACCGGCTCGCACATGACTATGCTACAAACATGAAGAGGAAGCTTGACCAGATGAAGGAAACTGATGGTCAGGTTTTACTTGATCATCAGAGATTTGTGGGTTTGTTCCAAAGGCATTTATTGCCTTCGTCTTCTGGGGCTGTACCGCGTAATGAAGCTCCAAATGATCAACCTCTGATGCCTCCTCCTTCTAGGGTTCTGTCCAGTACTGAGGCTCCAAATGATCCCCCTCCGGTGCCTTCTCTTTCTAGGGCTCTACCGACTGCTGAGACTTCTCCTAAGCAACCTTTGTGAAGGCTCCCTCTTGTGTGTGTTTATTTTGACTCATGTATATGTACATATTTGTAGCTTATCGGGGATATCAATAAATAAGCTTTCCTTCATTTCAACGTATTGTGTTAAATACACCAAAGCCTTCTTCGCTAAGTTCTTTGAATTTTCTTTTGTTGAAGCTTGTATGTTGAAGCTTTCTGAGTGGAGCATGTAGGTTGGGGTAGTGTTCCCTTAATTTTCCGAGTGAGGAAAACTTCTCGGTTGGAGACTTGGAAAATCCAAGTCACTGAGTGGGATCGGCTATATGAATCTTAGAACGCCATTGTGCTCGATCCTGTGTCATGTCCTTCGTTAGATCCAAGTACTCTAAGTCTTTTCTTAGAGTCTCTTCCAAAGTTTTCCTAGGTCTTCCTCTACCCCTTCGGCCCTGAACCTCTGTCCCATAGTCGCATCTTCTAATCGGAGCGTCAGTAGGCCTTCTTTGCACATGTCCAAACCACCGTAACCGATTTTCTCTCATCTTTCCTTCAATTTCGGCTACTCCTACTTTACCCCGGATATCCTCATTCCTAATCTTTTCCTTTCTCGTGTGCCCACACATCCAACGAAGCATCCTCATCTCCGCTACACCCATTTTGTGTACGTGTTGATGTTTCACCGCCCAACATTCTGTGCCATACAGCATCGCCGGCCTTATTGCCGTCCTATAAAATTTTCCCTTGAGCTTCAGTGGCATACGGCGGTCACATAACACGCCGGATGCACTCTTCCACTTCATCCATCCAGCTTGTATTCTATGGTTGAGATCTCCATCTAATTCTCCGTTCTTTTGCAAGATAGATCCTAGGTAACGAAAACGGTCGCTCTTTGGTATTTCTTGATCTCCGATCCTCACCCCTAACTCGTTTTGGCCTCCATTTGCACTGAACTTGCACTCCATATATTCTGTCTTTGATCGGCTTAGGCGAAGACCTTTAGATTCCAACACTTCTCTCCAAAGGTTAAGCTTTGCATTTACCCCTTCCTGAGTTTCATCTATCAACACTATATCGTCTGCGAACAGCATACACCAAGGAATATCATCTTGAATATGTCCTGTTAACTCATCCATTACCAACGCAAAAAGGTAAGGACTTAAGGATGAGCCTTGATGTAATCCTACAGTTATGGGAAAGCTTTCGGTTTGTCCTTCATGAGTTCTTACGGCAGTCTTTGCTCCTTCATACATATCCTTTATAGCTTGGATATATGCTACTCGTACTCCTTTCTTCTCTAAAATCCTCCAAAGAATGTCTCTTGGGACCCTATCATACGCTTTTTCCAAATCTATAAAGACCATGTGTAAATCCTTTTTCCCATCTCTATATCTTTCCATCAATCTTCGTAAGAGATAGATTGCCTCCATGGTTGAGCGCCCTGGCATGAACCCGAATTGGTTGTCCGAAACCCGTGTCTCTCTTGCCTCAATCTATGCTCAATGACTCTCTCCCAGAGCTTCATTGTATGACTCATTAGCTTAATACCCCTATATAGTTCATGCAATTTTGTACGTCGCCCTTATTCTTGTAGATAGGCACCAAAGTGCTCGTTCGCCACTCATTTGGCATCTTCTTCGTTTTCAAAATCCTATTGAAAAGGTCAGTGAGCCATGTTATACCTGTCTCTCCCAAAAGTTTCCACACTTCGATTGGTATATCGTCTGGGCCTATTGCTTTTTTATGCTTCATCTTCTTCAAAGCTACAACCACTTCTCTCTTCCGGATTCGACGATAAAAAGAGTAGTTTCTACACTCTTCTGAGTTACTCAACTCCCCTAAAGAAGCACTCATTTCATGTCCTTCATTGAAGAGATTATGAAAATAACTCTCCATCCATCTGTCTTTAACCGCGTTCTCTGTAGCAAGAACCTTTCCATCCTCATCCTTGATGCACCTCACTTGGTTTAGGTCCCTTGTCTTCTTTTCCCTTGCTCTAGATAGTTTATAGATATCCAACTCTCCTTCTTTGGGTATCTAGTCGTTTATACATATCGTCGTAAGCCGTAAGCCGCTAACTTAGCTTCTCTGACAGCTTTCTTCGCCTCTTGCTTCGCTTTTCTATACCTTTCACCATTTTCATCGGTCCTCTCCTTGTATAAAGGCTTTACAACATTCCTTCTTAGCCTTCACCTTTGTTTGTACCTCCTCATTCCACCACCAAGATTCCTTTTGGTGTGGGGCAAAGCCCTTGGACTCTCCTAATACCTCTTTTGCTACTTTTCGGATACAACTAGCCATGGAATCCCACATTTGGCTAGCTTCCCCCTCTCTATCCCACACACATTGGGTGATTTACCTTCTCTTTGAAAATGGCTTGTTTTTCTTCTTTTAGATTCCACCATCTAGTCCTTGGGCACTTCCAAGTCTTGTTCTTTTGTCTTACTCTTTTGATATGTACATCCATCACCAACAAGCGATGTTGATTAGCCACGCTCTCTCCTGGTATAAACTTTGCAATCCTTACAAGTTATACGATCCCCTTCCCTCATTAGAAGAAAATCTATTTGTGTTTTTGACGACCCACTCTTGTAGGTGATCACATGTTCTTCTCTCTTCTTAAAGAAGGTGTTGGCTAAAGAAGAGATCATATGCCATTGCAAAATCCAAGATATAGCTTCCCCATCCTCGTTTCTCTCCCCAAAACCATGGCCACCATGAAAACCTCCATAGTTGCCTGTCTCCCTGCCCACGTGTCCATTTAAATCTCCTCCTATAAATAACTTCTCCGTCTGAGCAATTCCTTGCACCAAGTCTCCAAGATCTTCCCAAAATTTCTCCTTCGAACTCGTATCCAACCCTACTTGAGGTGCGTACGCACTAATCACATTGATAAGTTCTTGTCCTATTACAATCTTGATTGCCATGATTCTATCTCCTACCCTCTTGACATCTACAACATCTTGTACCAAGGTCTTGTCCACGATGATGCCAACACCGTTTTCTCGTTCTATTTGTGCCCGAATACCAAAGTTTAAACCCTGAGTTTTCTAGATCCTTTGCCTTACTACCAACCCACTTAGTTTCTTGTAGGCACATAATATTTATCCTTCTCCTCACCATAACTTCCACTACTTCCATAGATTTTCCCGTTAAGGTTCCTATATTCCACGTTCCTAAACGCATTTTGCTCTCTTGAACTCTACCCTTCTGTCCTAGCTTCTTCACCCTCCCCCGTCTAATAGGATCAAAGTACTTCTTTTGTGTGTCCCGGGTAAAGTTGATAGGAGCATATGCTCCCAAACAACTTTGAGTGGAGTCGTTCGAAAAGAAGTTTCTATGGCCCCCTTGCTCATTTAACACTGCATCCGGGTGCCGATGGAGATACAGCGACCCTTGCTCACTTATCACTGTGCTCGGGCCACACAGCGCGCCACTTACGGGTGACGCCCTAGCTTTAGCGCGATTTTGTTCTGGATTCATTTTCATAAGGATTCGACGTGATCATGGAGTGCCGGCTGTCGACTACCTGACGCCCTCCCCCTCCTCCTTTATCCGGGCTTGGGACCGGCCATGTAAGACATAGGCGGAGTTAAAGCGACAAAACGATCAAACCAAAGAAAAAGAAAACATAAGAAAGAATTAAAGGCGGGTTACATCTAAATTAACGAGGCATTGGCAATTGGTGGTACCGGCCGAAAACGACCCCAAAGTCTACAACTTTACCGGCTTTGCTTTCCGCACACCATGTTGGGTTTAGTTCAATTTTTCCCCACCCATTTAATCATAATTTCCTTTTAATCGCCTCACCAAGCCAGTCTCACGCCCGTCAAAAACCGCGTCCTCCTTTTATTCCATCAACTCCGAGTCCTACTCGGACACCTGCTTTTTGCTTTTGCTTTCAGTTTTCTTCCCTTTTAATTTTATGCAGTTTTTCTAATATTCTTCAACTGGGTCACTGTCCTTTGAGTCATCAACCTTGACCCAGTATCTGCAATAACGGTTCAGAGAATCAGAGTCAAAGAAACAAATGGATCAGAATTCGTTTCTGGGTTTTCAGCCGGTGAGGTATGTGATTGTTCTTCGTCAACTTTGATGGGTCTGCCTCTGTCAGTCTTGACTTTGTGAATTTCTGCGTATTTGGGCATTTGGGTTGGTTCTGATTTCTGGGTCTGTTCTGGTTTTTGATGATAGAGCATGTAATATAATTGGGGTTGTGGGAATTGGGGAGATTGGTTTTTGGTAGTTAATTTTGGTATATATACGCGCGCGCGCACACACACACATATATATGTGTGTATCTAGCCATCTAGGGGTGTGTGTGTGTGTGTGTGTTGCTGAATTATCATTTTTCTTATGCAAATAAGTTTCTGCCATTGATCTTCAGCATACATATGAACAAATCTTCAGCATACATATGAACAAATAAAGCAGTTAATGGAAAAATAAAAAAGGGATTATCTTGCAGTGCTTTTTATATCTTTAGTGAAACAAGCAAGATACAATTTTTATGCATAATATTCATGGACATGTTATTTCTCCTGAAAAAGTTGCACAGTTCAAATTTTGGAAATGTGCCAATTCCGTTTTGAATCGGGCAAGGTAAGAAAGTAAAGATTTTCGATCACGTTGCTTGTGCTCGACTGATTGTACTTTCAGTCATCATCTCAATTTAGAGATGTATGTGGCATTCAAATTACTGTGTTCTGAACTCAACTTGTCATGTTAGTACAATATTTGTGGACAAGGAATTTGAGTGGTCATTAATGTGTTTGCCGATCCTATGGCAGATAATCCGTGGCATTTATGCCCTGCAAGATGTTCTCATTGCCTGAATCTCAGAAGAGACCAAAGAATGGTTCATCAAACTGATCTTGTTATCATTGGCGTCTCTGTTGGTCTAGCCCTCGGAATTTTGATTGCTGTACTCATATTTTTTGGCATAAGGTGGTATAAAAAGCGTGCTAATCTACGACAATGTGCTAATGAGCGTAGTCTTACCACTCTACCTATACGCACAAATGGCTTAAGTACAACCACTGACTATAGTGCGTCTCTTTCAACTTCCAAAGCTATTCAAGGAACCGAGAACCTTCAAAAAAGTTCTCCGCTCTCTTGGTGGAGTCATCACAGCAAAGATCGATTTGCTTCTGCATCAGGCGTACTTAGATACTCTTACAAGTATGAATTTCTAAATTCTGCAAGAGCTCGAACCTTTTGAGCTACACAAAAGTTACATACTGCTGTATTGGTTCTTATTTTCCATTTTCTGGAAGCGGTTTCTTTATTAGGTTTATAGTCCCTGTAAGGTATTTGGAATGAGATCCTATGATATGTGGCATATCTAATGCTTGATACCTTTTTCAGAGCTGTACAGAAAGCCACTCAGAATTTCACAACCCTTTTGGGACAAGGTTCATTTGGTCCGGTATATAAAGCAAAAATGCCTGCTGGAGAGGTAGTAGCTGTTAAGGTCCTTGCTTCGAATTCTAAGCAGGGAGAGAAAGAGTTCCAAAGAGAGGTAAAGACTCACGAAGTATATTTCGAGTAGGATTTGTGATGGACAATTTTCCTTCATGCCTACAGAGCTGATATAAAAATACTCTTGACATATATTGTAGAATTTGCAACCATAACGTAACTTTTTGCCCTTTGGTCGAAAATAATACAAGTAGAATTTAAAATTTCAACAATCTGCTAACCTAATTATCGTACTATCTGTGATACTTAACTTGAGGTTTATATCCCTTGAAGCAGATTGAGTTTTTAATTTTTAGGTGGTCTTATTGCAGGTATCTCTGCTAGGAAGACTGCATCATCGGAATCTAGTGAATCTAGTAGGATATTGTGTAGATAAAGGGCAGCGTATGCTAATCTACGAGTTCTTGAGTAATGGAAGCTTATCGAACCTTCTGTACAGTAAGCTCAGAATCTTCTGTATATACATTGAAATAGTATATTAAGTTTGATTGAGGGCTAAATCATAAGGAAACTCAAGAGTCTCTGTTCATTGATTTGACCTAGACCTAGAGATGTCTTACGGTCTTTTCTTGTTTCAGTTCCTCAAACCTTAGACTAAAACTTATATAGGGAAGGATTTCGGCTGATTTGAGAATCATCTTGCTCTACGTTCATGTAGGTGAAGAACAACAGGTTTTGAGCTGGGATGAAAGGCTACAAATTGCTCTTGACATTTCACATGGAATTGAATACCTTCATGAAGGGGTATGATATTGAGTGTATCCTCGTTTTGTTACTGAACAAGTTCATTCATTCATCTCATTCACTCTAAGTTTTTTTTAACAGGCTGTCCCACCAGTTATACATCGTGACTTAAAATCTGCTAATATACTGTTAGACGAGTCGTTGAGAGCTAAGGTAATCTGGTTTAAATTTCTATTGGATCGACATGCATAGTAGTCAATGGTGAATGTTATGTTCTTTATGTGCTCATGTCATTCTATCCTCACCTTCTCCGGTGCATTTAACAGGTTGCTGATTTCGGATTGTCTAAGGAAGAGGTCTATGATGGCCGGAATTCTGGTCTGAAAGGTACCTACGGCTACATAGATCCGGTATACATATCTACAAACCAGTTTACAATGAAGAGTGACATCTACAGTTTCGGAATTATCATATTTGAGCTAATTACAGCCATCCACCCTCACCAAAACTTGATGGAATACGTTAGTCTCGTGAGTTCCTTGCACTCTGCAAAACAAATTTATTCTTACGGTTACTTCTGTTGCGCAACTGTTTTAACTTACTTCCACTTTTCCCCTAAGGCTGCTATGGCTCCAGATGGCGTTGATGAAATACTTGATAAGCAACTGGTTGGAGAATGCAACATCGAAGAAGTGAGGATGCTAGCTAGAGTTGCTCACAAATGCTTACATCAATTACCGAGAAAGCGGCCTTCCATAGCAGAAGTGTCCCAGGCTATATTGAAGATAAAACAGCGGCGTCTCGCTAAAGAAGATACCATGTCTTTTGCAGGTGAGGAGTTTTCAAGGGCTGTAAGCCGAATAGAAGTTCAGCAGGTGGAGCTGAGTAGAATAGCGAGCGTGAACGAAAGAGTAACTGAATGAACAAGAAGAATTTTGTTTCCAGTTTTGAGCTTGCGTCTGTTCATTTTAGATGTTGAATATCATACACCAGAACATCGTAGAATTTTCCCGTCTTAGTAATACATATATATATGCTTGAAACAAATTTATTCACTCTCTACACAAAGTCAAGAAGCCAACAGAGTCTGAAAGTTAAAAACATTAAGCAAACGAAAAGACAGTTCTCGCCTCCATTGGCCGACTCTCAAAGGGCAGTTCAGGCTCTGGAAGCAGTTCTTCCCGCAAAAAGACTTCTGAAACAAATAAAATAACACCACCAAGCATAACACCACCAAACATCGAACCTTACAAGAACTCTAATTTGATTTATTTATCTAACAAACTAAGGCCTCAAAACTGGCATGAAGTCCCTAGCCTTTGTCTCTGCCTCTGACCCGCATTCCCCGTTTTGCGATTAGCGAAAGCAGGACGCAGCAACCTCTGGAAATTCTCAAGAAACCGCATCCATTCCTCTTCATTCATATCCGCTAGCTTCACAAAACTGCTGCTCACAGGCAGCTGCTCATTCACGCTCCTGTTTCCAGATGATATGCCAGCCAAGTAGCCATTCTTCTGCGTTGAACCTAGGTGTCGCCAACTCTTCTCCCCAATGCTGATGTTTCTCAATGATGTTGACAGCTTCGAAACATTTGGAATCTGATCCTGCACCACGGTTGCACATTCATTCGTCCTCAAAGGTAATTCATTACCTTCAAGCCCTTCAATGTCTTCCTCCGCACTCTCCTCTAGTTTAGTAAGTGTATATCTTCTGTTTCCACCTTTTGGTCCAAAAGGGCAATTCCCTTCACTTTCCATTCTCATTTCCTTACTTGGACTCAAATCCAACTCCTCCCCACAGTCTAGGTCAAATTGAACCTCCCCCTTGATTGCTTTCTGTTCAGAATAAGATATTTCCTCCTCTAACAGTTTCTTTGCTTCGATGCATATTACCTCAAGTTCGCTCGGCTCCTCCTCATGACCAAGAAACTCCCTACTCATCATCTCGCCAATCTCAGAAAGACAGAGGCCAAAAGCTGCAGCTCCCTTGAGGAAAATTGTGCAAAGAACCAAGACGCGTAGGCATGCATCTCGAATCATGGGTAGCTCCATTCTAAGCATATCAGAATCCTTCAAAGGATCAAGTTTATCGATATATGCAAGCTCATCATCTGAGAAAGGAATTGATGCCTGTGGCCAGTGTATCCACTCAAAGTATGGATCCTCCAAGCTTTCAGGCAGACAAAGGCCATGATCGATGGGTACAAGCTCCACCTGACCAAACTTCCCAGCACCATCAAGCTTTCTAACCAGAAGGTTCCCAGCATGCCTGTCCGTGTTTAGAATCCGGATATCTAGGATCCCTATTCTGTGCACAGCATCAACAGGGAAGCTAGAAAACCCGTGATCACTGGCGTCAAAATCATGAGGAATGAATTGCTGCAATGATGCAATCTTGCTTGCTTGCTTTCCATTTTGATGCATATTACCCTTCACTCCATCATTAACATTAAAAACGGAATGCGTGATTTTCACAAGTGCAGTGGCAGGGACCTTAGCAAAATTGTTGTAGTCAAGAAGGAATGCTGCAACTTCTCTAAATCCTGTCTCCCCAACCCGCACTGAACGTTTGAGACCTGGTTGTCCAAGAGCTTTCCCAACAAAACCTTTTGGGTTGTTTGGAGCAAAAGGTTCCTCATCCGTCGGTTTCACAATGGCAATATTTTCACCATCGCAATTTCTAAAATAATATGCACCTCCAAGACCACTGTGAACTGGAACGGGATCAATCTCATTTCTTATTGCCTTCACAATATCCCAAACCAGCTTTTTTGTTCTGGCAAACTGATCCGAGTATCCCAGTACCTCAATTGGACCGCTCTGATCCCTCTGCTGAAGATCCTTCCCGGTAGGTGAAAGACAAGGGGTAGAGGAGCTTCTGTGCAAGAAGTTCTTGGTGAGAAGAAGAGGAGAATCATTTCTAACAATGCTGAGATCATTCTTCAACACCATGTCACCACATACCAATGAACTCTCATCAGTTGGGACATCAAGTGCAAGCCGCAATTTCCTCTTCACCGTGTGTGCATTATCACTCCTATCTAGCTCTATACCCAAAACAGAACCGGCTTCAGTCTGCACAAAAACACGTCTCTTGCCAGAATTTCTTCTCTCAAATTTCTTATCCCCATGGTACTCACCATTAAGAGGTCCTTTGAAGGTTGCAACTGCCATCTGGTTATGTACAGGTTTATGCAATTCAGGAGACATGCAAGGAATCAAAGAAGTGGCAATGGCAAGTTCCAATGCCGGCAGTAGAGGCAGCGGCAGCAGAAGAGAGCTTCTCTCTCAAGCAGACGCCAATCTCAAACGCCGGCACCAATTGACGGAGAATGTTTGCACCGTAAACAATCATAATCAAACCAAGTAGAAGGCAACTGCGATTTTCACATTGGAAAAAGCTACATCGAAGAAGCCACCTACTTTTGCAAATTTTTCTACATTGGAGATAATGCTGGCCATTCCAAAAGATCATAGTCGTTAAATTAATTTATTAAACAGAAATTTCACAACAGAAACGAAATTCTAAGATAATCCTCCTTTAAATACATAAAATTATCTCAAAAGATTCAATCACCAAAAGCAACTGAACTCTACTTTTCGAAAATTCGAATCACCAAAAGCAATCTGCATCATGAACTTTCAATCCAAACATGCAACCCCAAGAATCGAATTTCAATTTCTTGTCCATTCAATTCCCCTATCCAGAAGCTTCTCACTTTTTATTTTATTTTTTTCAATACTTCTCCTCCAAAATCGGTAACTTAGAAATTTCCAGTAATCGTTTAATTTGTACAAGAAAAACTACTTGCAAGTGTGAAATTCATAGAAATTGATCATAAAATTTACAGTACCAACACAAACACAAGATTCAAATGCTAATCGCGGTTCGAAATTGCAAAATTCGCTAAATATTTGTGTCTCCTAATGCTGAGCTCAGAAAAAAAAAAGCGAACGAGTGAGACTTACCGGAGACCGCGAGATTGAGAACCGGACGGCGGAGCCTTACCGGAGATCCACCGCCGCTGAGACGAGAGGGAATCAGAGACCGACGGACGGCGGAGATCGGATACGATCAAACATCGACGGCGGCGATCGATCGAACCTCAAAATCCGTGGCAGTTTCGTCCTCTCTCTCACTGTCTCCGGAGTTCGTCTCTACCTCCCTCTCGCGAGAAGCGGAAAGGGTTTAACGAATAATTGAAGTCGCTTTTTAAAGTACGGGCAGGGACACTATGCTCCCGCTGATTGCGCCACGTGGGGCTGCCAGGTTCGTTTGATGTTGACGTTGATCTGATGTGATTCTCGTGCGTGTGATTACTACGCGCCCTGACGGCCAATCGCAGTGAAGGGTAACTGGATGAGAGTTTGCGATTGCCGCCGCGTGGCGGTTGCGTTTACCGCGGTGGTGGGTCCCGAAAAAGATCTAGAGCCTCAAAGTAAAGAGAGATTTTTTAGTGTGACATCACACTGGATAGTACATCACTTGTCGCTATATAAATGGTATGATATGTGTGTTAAAAAATTAATAACTTAAAAAATAAAATTTCTCATTACTTACATAAAAACACTTGGTGTACCATCCATATTTTCGTCATAATTAAAAATTCTCCGAAGTAAAACCATTTATTACTTCTTTTGTTGTGGGTAATTATACATTTCTACATGCATTTTTTTGTTTTAAGATTCTTCTCGTTCCTTTTTCTCTCTCCTCCTGTCATTGCTTGTTTTCTCTCTCTATTTTTTTTTCTTTTTACAAAATGAATTTGAGCCGTCTAATAGAAAGGAAGGGAAAAAGGAAGAATAAAATCTTGTCCCAAGTTCCCGAATTCTCAAGCATTATTATCAAAATCGAGATTCCTGTGTAATGGCATTATCTACACACTCTCATGCTAATCCTACTCAGAGATTTTGATGTGTAATCGATTATAGATATTATTATAACGTGACGAATAATATAAATACAAGAAAATTGTATTTTCGATTGCATTTAAGAATCTCTTCATTTGCCGACATCACTGCATTTTCATCAGTTTCTTCTTCCCCTATTGAAATTTCATAGTCAAGGAAGAATTTCTAACCGCATTTACTTTCCATTGATTCTGCCCCACCCCAAAACAGTTCCTACTCTTCAAACCGCACCTCATCCTTCCACCCAAAAAGCTCCTTTCTTTCCTTTTCACAAACACCCTTTGATTTATAATCCACACATATACTCGCACAAATACCAACTATTACAAGAAATGACTTACATACGACACGAGTACTATGTCACGGTTAATATTTTATGATAAAAATTCATGTTATGTTATTTATTTTACATATCCTTAGTTTTACAGTTTACTAACACGAGACGTTACAGAAAGACGAAGTCATCTCCTATTACAAACCCTCCCACAAGCCTCATGACAAAAAGATACAACCTTAACCGCACGTGACTAAACTCCAACTCCATCCCACATTGCTTCCCAGTCGTACAACAGGACCGGATGTATCCAACACTTCTCCAGCGCTTATCCTACACCCTCATGCCCTCATTTACCATTGGGTCTGGAGGTGTTACACACGCGCTGTAGTCGAGAGTGGGGTATTACTAGACAGAGATTTATGAAGAACATGAAATATTTAATGTAATCAAATGCCGCGTCTGGTCTCTCTCAGTCAACTCAAACACTCAAGCAACAATTATGTTCATCTTATTCGCACGTGCCTCCCCTCCCCCTCTCTCTGTGACTTTTCCTTCTGCTCAAATAAACAAAACCCCTTCTCTCTCTCTCTCTCTCTCTCTCTCTCTCTCTCTCTCTCTCTCTTCTCTGGTTCTGCAAAATCTGGTTGGAGTTGGAGGTTCTGATCCTGAAGTGGGGTTTCAATGAAAGGGGAGGGGAAGATGGTTCTGAAGTCGAAGATGAAATGGGTTGGACTGGTTGGACTGTTTCTCTCAGCTATCTCTCTCTTTGTGCACTTTCTGCTGGCCAGATTCACAGAAGGGGCTGCTGCTTCAGAGTTCCACTCCTCCATCACAATCTTCCCCAGAAGAGCCATTGGTGAAAGCTTGAATTTTTCCAAGACTGTAAATTTCACTTACCCCCCCATCAAAGATCTCATCTTTCTCAAGTTTCATCTGCTCTGCTTAAATGCTCTCTCTCTCTCTCATGTTTTTGTGGAGCTTGACTCCTGAGTGTGTTTCTGTTTCTGGGTTTTGACAGTTTCGTTGTTTTCTTCTGGGAAAGTCTTGTTCTTGCTCTAAAAGTGGCAATCAGTGTTGCTTTTGTGACATTGATTTTTTGGGGAATTTTTCTTGGGTATTTTTGAAAATTCAGGCAGGATATATAGGAATCATTTTGTTGGTTTTCTGATATCGCTTTCGTTTGAGTTCGTGAATTTAGTGTGGATCCGTTTTTTTTTATTTTTTATATATCAATTATGTGTTTCCATATCAATTTTGTTGGTTTTCTGAAATCAGCTTCACTTATCCTTCTACTTTGGAGTGCAGAGCCCAATGTATAGAAGGCTATGGGGTCCGGTTCGGCATCTCGAATCTTTGCAACCGAATGCAAATCCCAGAGGACATTATGCCGGTTAGCCTACTTTTCATCTTGCTATAGTGATTTCTGTATTGGTGTAATGCTTTCTGGAGGTTAATGTTAGACAGGTATTTCGGTTTAAGAATTTTCTCTGCAGAATCAATGTTACCAAAAGGTTGATGATAACACTTTCTTTCTCTTAAGAAAAAGAAAGTTTACAATCTTACTTTATGTCGGATTGTAGGTTTAACACAACCAGTGGGGTCCCGGATTAGCTTGATCATTGTTATTATAATTGTGAGATCCCACATGGGGTACATGCTGACCTCCCTATAGTAAGACGCATTTTGGGTGGAAACCCAAGAACAAATCTGTGAGGGTGTGGCCCAAAACGGACAATATCTTACTATGTGGATGGGATGTGACAATAATCGTGATTACTACGGCCCAGGAGGATATGCTTTATGTCTAAAATTTGAATGTTGAAACCTTGAAAGGATGTATAATTATCTATGTGAACAAACATGGAATCATTCTAAAGTGAAATGTGTTTGTGTCACAGATCCTGGTTCAGATACCAACGGGTTTATCTTTGTCAGGATACAAGGCGGATTTCATGAGATCAGGAATTCGGTAAGGGTGTAATCAGTCATGTATGAATAGCCTTTCATTGTATTCAATTGTCTTATAAGTTTACAGCTGCAGCATTTTATTGATTTTTCAGATATGTGATGTGGTTGTGGTTTCTCGGTTTCTTAATGCAACGTTAGTGATTCCTGAGATCCAATCAACCACGAGCAGCAAGGGCATCAGGTTTGCCTTTTTGGATCGGTTTGGTTTGTTCGTGACCTAAAGTTGATGTATTCGTACTTATTGTTTGCGTCTTATGTTTTTATGTAGCTCTCAGTTTAAGAGTTTTGCCTATCTCTACAATGAGGACCAATTCATGGCAGCCTTGTCAAAAGACGTCAAAGTTGTGAAGACGCTTCCCAAAAATCTCAAGGGGCAAAGGAGAAAAAAGAACATTCCGGTGTTTAAAGTGCCTTACTCTGCTTCTCCGTATTACTATAAGAACCATGTTCTTCCAGTTTTGAAGAAGCATTTAGTAGTTGAACTAGTTGTGTCTGACGGTGGATGCTTGCAGGTAACAGTGTCTGCTCTCTCTGTTGCAGTGTACTCATAACTTGGGTTTGCGGAACTGAAAATTGTATTTCTTGGTTTGATGATACAATAATTACCTCGTTTGGATGGAATACAGGCTATCCTGCCACCCGATCTTGAAGAATATCAGAGGCTGAGATGTAGGGTTGCTTTTCATGCTCTTAGGTTCCGGCAGGAGGTCCAGGAACTTGCCACCAAAATTTTACAAAGGTCATTTACCAGCCTCCATTTACACACACACATACGCTCTCTCTCTCTCTCTCTCTCTCTCTCTCTCTCTCTCTCTAAGTATTTGGTATCTAATTTTTTCTCATCAGCAAAGCTTTTAACGTATATTTACTATCTCTTTAGATTAAAGGCTCCTGGACAGCCATTCATTGCATTTGACCCTGGAATGACCCGGGAGGCTTTGGCATTTCATGGTTGTGCTGAACTCTTCCAGGTATTTGCTTCAAACCTTTCATGGCATTTGACCCTCGATTGCATGATAAATTAATTTTTGGAACTCTTTCATAGCGTTTAATTTGCATGTGTTTGTCTACCCAAGGATGTACACACTGAACTCATTCAGCACAAAAGACAATGGATGCTAAAACGTGGAATTGTCAAGGGAAAGCTTTCCGTGAATTCTGCAGAACAGCGCCTTAAAGGTTCTTGCCCACTGATGCCGGAAGAGGTAAGATACGATGTGGCTACAAAACAAAATTAATGATCATAATCAGAACAGCACCCTAACGATGGAGTGAATATTACAAAGTTAGTTCTAATATACACTGCAATTCTATTTAGCACAGAATTATCTCGAGAAAAATATTGTCTACATCCTTTAATAAGAAATGACTTCTTACTGAACCTTTTGTCTATATTACTTGGATTGCTACAGATTGGTATTATTCTTCGTGCGTATGGGTACTTGTGGGACACAATAATATATGTCTCAGGGGGAGAAATCTTTGGTGGCCAAAGGACATTGATACCTCTTCGTGCAATGTTTGAAAATGTCGTTGATAGGACTTCCCTCAGCATGCCTTGGGAGCTTGGTAGGATGTATGGTCGCGAAGCTAACCTTGTTGATCGCAATCCCAGGAGTCCACCGATGATTAAGGAAGAGATGAAAATGGAAGCATGGAAAAATGCAGGCCCACGCCCTCGCCCACTTCCACCACCCCCGGCCAGGCCCAAATTCTATAACATTGAAGGTTGGTGGGGTTGGGTAGCTGAGAGTGATAACGAGCCTGATAGTACAGTTATCGAATTAAGGACCAATGCTCATAAACTTCTGTGGGAAGCAATTGATTATGTGATATGCGTTGAAGCTGATGTCTTTATCCCTGGATTCGATATTGATGGTAAGGGACACCCAAATTTTGCAAGCTTGGTAATGGGACACCGACTCTATCAATCAGCTGAATCAAAGACATACAGACCAGACAGGTACGTACTTCTGGACATAGGTGTCTGAGGAATTGCTACATTCAGTTGCTCCCTTGATGATGACGATTGTCTTTGTTTTCTTAAAAATTCTTTCTTGTGTTTTTCTGAATGCAGAAAAGAAGTCGGCAAGCTTTTACATGAAATTCATGACCACCTATACCATGCAAACCATACTTGGCTGATGTCAGTACGCAAGCATTTGAGGAAAAGATTAGTTGATGGATTAATAGAAGCTTCAGCAAGATCAAAACCACTGTCTTTTATTTCTCATCCAATTCCGGAATGTTCTTGCTTAAGGCACAATCCTGCTGGAAAATCAATTAATGCCACGTCGTCACCTCATGCTTCAACTCCTAGTCATTCTCAAGTTCTTTCCGCTCTTGGAGTTGTGCACTATTGCCCTGCTTGGATGGAGAATGATTTGACATTGCAGTCAAAAGACAAGGAAAATGAAGAAAATCTAGATGAAGACGACTCCACCTCATCAGGATTGTTCTTCCGGAAAAATAATGGAGATCATGACGGTGGTAATGGAGACATAAGCAACAAAGAAGAAACTCAGTTGGAGGATCAAGAAGAGCTCGAGGGTGGAGAACAGTAGTGAGGCTGATTGAGTGGCATCAATTGCCGGCAGTTCTGTACATAAAAAGATGTCTTCATTAGTATGATCCAAGCAAGTTTGGAATCATCTTCGACGCCAGTTTCAAAACGGAATGCAAGCTTCTTAACCGTCGTTCAAGAACAGGAATGACTACATTGTAATTTGTCCGTCTTTGAACCCCTTTAGGTAAAATAAAGTCATTATTTAACCCCCACAGCCAATTTTGATGTAAGCTGATATGTTCTCCAATGAAATTATAGCTTTAGATGATCTCTTTCAGGAAACCTCTAATTTTTCCAGAAGATTTTTTACTCTGCTTCAAACTGATACAAGTATTGAAGTATGTCGAGCAGAAGGGTAAATGTCTCGGTCAGTCTTGGGCGATTGAATTAATTCTTTGCATATCTTCGTCACAAAGTGTGCACCACTACCTACTGTACTCATTCAAGGGAAAAAACTTGTGTAGAGATGCTTGACCCGGACGACTTTCACATCAGGTGGAATCAGCCTGGCGTCGAGTGAGACTAGAATACATAAGATCATGTTTTTGCGAGAAATTCTCTACTGCTGACGTCATTGACGTGCTCTGAATGCACCCACACGAGTTTTTCTCCTTATTCAAGTATTGGTCAAAGTTGATGTGGGGCCTTAGAAAGATGCATAAATGGGTTTTGAAGTTCAAGTTGGTTACTCTTTGTTTGCCTCTCAAGAAAATCTTTGGGTTCCTGGAACTTGCCGAGAAATTACGGGAGACATCGGTCAAAACTTGATCTCCAAGAAAAAGAAGCTATATATAAGCGAAGATAGAAGTCCAAGTAGCAGCAACAAAACCAGGAGAAACACAACCTCATCGGTTCCTTGCCTACCCTGTTTGAAAGCCTCCTTTCAAGCCAAGCTAAGATCAAAACCATGAGTAAGAACAAGGCGAGTTGGTTCATGTCCTTGTTGAGGTCGTTGTCCCGTTGCTTCCATGGAGAGACGAAGCTTTCGAGGAGCGGAAGGCCGGAGGATGGACCGGAGGCGTGGAATGTAGCCGCTGCTGCTAAGCACTTGTCAAATAAAGTAACAATTGGCTAGTTTGAACTTGAACTTACGGCATAGCAACGGCTCATATCTTATGAGTCTCGACTTGTTCCAGACATAGCCAAGGAAGAAGGGTACTGTGGCTCTCTTTGACTTGAAGCCTATTAGATCTTCTACAAGTTAATTGTAGTGGGAAATGACAACGACATGCTCTTTTTCTCCTCTTACACACCTATCTTCATGTTTGGTCATTGAAGTGAAGAAATTTAATGAAAACTCCTCGCTGGAAACCAAAGTGTTGATTTTGTGCATCAACAAGTGTGGAAGAAGAGGAAAAGGGTGTGCGATTATTATTTTCCATTGCTATAATCCAATGGTGGAGGAATTATGTAAGATATGTAATAATTGATGTAAAATATTATATCAAACAATCAACCTTGTATTTATATTAAAACAAACAACATATTGTAAAGAACTTGTAACACAGTTGATTGAGAGAATTTACTCTGGCTCATATACTCGAAGAGTCATTTTTCCTCTCCCCCTCCCCTACATCACTTGTATCATTAGAAGAAAAAAAAAATCACATGCTTAAGTATGATGACCATCAGAAATCTTGGACAATGTCAGGTTTTTTTCTTTTTTTTTTTTTGAAATTTATTGAGATAGAAAAAAGAAGTTACACCTAGTCTGGAAGGACATAAACTTTACCTCTCATAAGGCAAGAAAAGGGGAGGGACGTACACCTAACACCTTACCCCTCTGGAAAAACAAATATAAGAAAATTAGGGGGGGGGGGGCGGGGACGTATACCTAACACTTAACCACCCTTGAAAAAGTCTGGAGAGACATAAACTTTACCTCTCATAAGGCAAGAAAAATAAAAATACAAGAAAAGGGGAGGGATGTACACCTAACACCTTACCCCTCTGGAAAAACAAATATAAGAAAATTGGGGGGGGCGTATACCTAACACTTAACCACCCTTGAAAAGAGGGGTGTATATAAGACCGAACCCCTCTAATATAAAACCTAAAAGGTAAAAACTTGCAAGACAAACTGCAAAACAAAAAATGAAAATCACACATAAAAAAAGGGAGACAAACCTATAGGCCGGCATGTCCAAGAAATCTGAATGCAGAAAATGAATAATCTCTATAGGAGGAGCGACATGCCAAACAAGTGAAGACAAGATAAGCCATAAATTGGCTAATTTGCCTCAATTGCATTGTACTGATGTGTGTCAATTTCAAGACCATTTGTGATAAAAACTCTAATATTAATTAATAAATTAATAATTAATTGTGAGAATAATCAGGATTAAATATTTAATTTACTTAATAATTAATTCTTTAAAAAATTAATGATTTCTGAATCGACAGGAACAGTAAAAGTCTCACTTAGTACGACGGTCTAGTATCTCCTAGATTCAATTAAAATATCAAAAAATAGAAACAGTAAGAGTCGTGAGGCTCCAAAAGTCTATAATCGTTGTCGCAAAATCAAAATTCCAAAACGAAGACACATCAGCACAAAAAGCTCCCAACACCAGACCCTTTTTCCACTATTTCTAGTTCGGGCACCCATCTTGGTCCTGCACCTCCGCATTTCCACTGCCACCTCTCACTCTCACACTGGGACCCGGCTTCGTTGCCCTCCCATTTTTCATATATTTTTATCTCCTTCTATTTTCTGCGGTCACGATTAAGTCACGTCAATATTTTATATTGATTTTTTTATAGAGATAATAAGACAAAAAATAATAGTAATATAAAATGTTGACGTGGCTTAACTGTGACCGCACAAATCGAAAGAGATGGAAGTGTATGAAAAGTGAGAGGGCAGAGAAGTCAGGTCCCTCACACCGCGCCCTCATCTCCGAGCTCCTCAGTTGTTAGTACTCTCTTTGGAAAGTTGTCTTCATTTTTTTGTGTTTATTTAATTAATTTGGGAGAAATTTATGTAATTTAGGCAATAGGAGATGGCTAAAGCTTCGTAGGGCCACCATGCTGAAGTCAAGTGAGATTAAAATACATAAAACCTTATATTTTTGTGCGAGTTTCCTAACAATTGACGTGATTGATGCGCTCTGAATGCTCTACACGAGTTTTTCCTCGTTCAAGTATTGGTCGGATCTTTTTTCTTGGTCAAAGTTATGTGGGGCCTTAGAAAGATACATAATTAGGTTTTGAAGTTCATGTTGGTTACATCTTTGTTTGCCACTCAAGAAAACCTTTGGCTTCCAATACACTACTTGCTGAGAAATTATGGGAGACTTTGGTCAACAAAGTGTCAACAGTAAAAGTAAAAATCCCATGCCATGGCCGAAACTATTTGATTTTTCAACAAGTAAAAACTTGAGCTCCAAGAAAAAGAAGCTGTATATAAAGCAAAGACAGAAGTCCAAGTAGCTGCAACCAAACCAGGAGAAACACAACCTCATCAGTTCCCTGCCTTCCAAGTTAAGATCAAAACCATGAGTAAGAAGAACATGGCGAGTTGGTTCATGTCCTTGTTGAGATCGTTGTCCGGTTTCTTCCACTGATAGACGAAGGGTTCGAGGAGCGGAAGGCCGGAGGATGGACCGGAGGCGTGGAATTTAGCCGCTGCTAAGCACTTCTCAAATAAAGTAACAATTGGCTAGTTTGGACTTGAACTTACGGCATGCCAACGGCTCATACCATGAGTCTCAACTTGTTCCAAGCATAGCAAAGGAAGAAGGGTACCATGGCTCTCTTTGACTTGAAGCCTTTGAGATCTGCAAGAAGTAAATTGTCGTGGAAAATGATAACAGCATGCTCTTTTTCTCTTCTTACACACATCTCTTTATTTTTGGCCATCGAAACGAATAAATTAAACAAAAACATTTGGCTAGAAATCAAAGTGTTTTGTGCATCAACAAGTGTGGAAGGTGCGATTATTATTTTCCGTTGTTACAGTCCAATGATGGAGAAATAATGTAAGATATGTAATAAGTCACATGACTTACATCAACTGCCACACTATTGATGTAGCAAGAATATAATTAATGTAAAATATTATATCAAATAAACAACCTTGTATTTATATAAAAGCGAACCATGCATTGCAAAGAGCTTGTAACTCAGTTAGTTAAGAGCATTTACTCTGACTCATATGCTTGAAGAGTCATTTCCCCCCACCTGTTCCCCTACATCACTATTGTTAAAAAAAAAAAAATCACGTGCTTAACTATGATGACCATTAGAAGTCTTGGACAGTGTCAGGTTAAAGTTACAGGATACGCCAGTCGATCAGAATAATGCGTGTATTTTATTGCATTCTTGCACATGAATTCAAATCTCTTTATCGTAAATTGAAAGAGAAATATTAAGGAGACTCGCTAAAAAATTTGACTCTTGATGTACTTTCTATCATCTTTTTTTTTTTTTTTTTACATAATATTTTATAATATTCACATAATAATCAAGTGGGCAAAATAAAACAAATTAGGCGTCCAACAAAGAAAAAATGCACCAATTAGGCGCGGTGGCGGGTCACGTTAGAAATAGTGGCGGGCACTACAGAATAATATTAATTAATAAATTAAGATTAATTGAAGAAAAAAAGAGATTAATTGAGAGAATAATCAAGATTTTATGTTTTTTTTTATAACATTGATATTTTTACACTAAGGAGAGGGGGTGTTCGACTAAGCCACATAATGTACAACTTAATTTAACATCGAATTCATCATTTACTAAATTTAAACCCAAAACCTATCAGGTGGGCAAAATAAAACAAAACAAAAAAAAATGCACCAATTAGGCGCGGTGGCAGGTCACGTTAGAAATAGTGGCGGGCACTACAGAATAATATTAAATAATAAATTAAGATTAATTGAAGAAAAAAAAAAAATTAATTGAGAGAATAATCAAGATTTAATGTTTTTTTTTTTTTGAGTACATTGATATTGGGAGTTCAGCTAAACCACACAATGGACAGTCTAATTTGGTATCGAATTCGTCATCTACGAAATTTGAACTAAGATCTCTCACTCTCAATGAGGAGGAATACCACCAGACCGTAGTACTGAGTGGTAATCAAGATTTAATGTTTAATTATTTAATAATAATTTATTAATGATTTAGGAAAACGACAGCAACAGTAGGAGTCGCCACCTAGGGCTGCAAATAAAATTTCTATGGTTGTCTCACTGTAACCGTTGGCGCAAAAACAAAACTCCAAAACGACAACGCATCAGCACAAAAAGGTCCACCAAAACCAGACCCTTTTTCCACTATTTCCAGCTCCGTCGGACCCAACTCGGGCCCCCATCTTGGTCCCGGACCTCCGCATTTCCACCATCGCCGCCTCTCACTCTCACACCGCTCCTTCCTCCCCGTGCTCCTCAGTACTCTCTCTCTCTGTAGTATTGTCATCATATTTTTTTTTGTGTATTTATATTTAATTTCGGGAGAAATTTATGTAATTTAGGCAGTCGGAGATGGCGAAAGCTTCAACGGGCCACCACGATGAATTTGAAGACGACGATGAAGTGTCTCATGGAGGTCTCTCTCTCTCTCTCTCTCTCTCTCTCTCTCTCTCTCCTCTGTGAGCTAAAAGTTGTGGCTCTGTTGGTTTTTATTTTATATTATTTTGAAGAAATAAAGAATTTTAATTTTTTGAAAAATAATAAATTGGTATGCGAGTGAAGCTAATGAGGAAATGATAGGGGAATTGGCAGTGAAGGTAGAAGGGCAAGGCAGGGAGAAGAACCGGTCCAAACATTCCGAAACCGAGCAACGTCGGAGGAGCAAGATTAATGAGAGGCAAGCTCTTCAAGCTCAAAGCTTTACCCTTTCTATTTCAAGCACTCCCTTAATTGTTCTTTGTCGATCTTGGTTGTATATTGTTCGATTTTCCGTGTTGCTTGAACTCGAAAAATTTCTGATTCGAATGCCAATCGTCACAATGTATCTACCTGGAAAAGTTGACAGTATATATTTTGTTGAATGTTATGCTCAAATTATGAGTTGTTGAATTAAAGTGATTTTTTCTTCTTAAAAATCGAAACTTTACGATTACCAAATTCTTTAAATTGTTTGACCTTGTAGGCGAACAATTTCCAAGCCTATTTGGCTATTCGAAACTCAATTTGTGAATTGGTCATGCAAGTTAGCAAACTTGAGAAGCGATTACCGAGTGGTTATTTGTTTGTTTATTTCTAATGAAAGCATTTTGTGTTGAATTTCAATTGTAGTCTTCCCTCCCTTCTCGTTGTCGTATAAAGTTTTTATCTTTTTTTGCTGCTGCTTTGTGCCATGCGGGTCTTTTTGTTCTAGTAGCATGGGTGTAAACTGTTCACTCACCTGGGCAATATATATTTCTGAGGCAGATTTCAGATGTTGAGAGATATCATACCCCAGAATGATCAGAAAAGAGATAAGGCTTCGTTGTTGTTGGAGGTATGCATTCCAATCGTGTTTTTAACGTTTTATCCTCGTTAACTTATTCTTTTGGTGGAATGTGTTCAGCATCATATTGAAATATTACTGTATCTATATGCAGGTTATAGAGTATATAAATTTTTTACAGGAGAAGGTAAATTTATACGAGGGGTCATACCAAGGGTGGAGTCCGGAGCCAACCAAACTGGTGCCATGGGTAAAATTCTAATGCTCGATACCTGTTTCTGCGTGTGTGGTATTGTTTGCTTGCATGTGATATGGTATTGGAGTCATATGTCTTTATCACTTTTGTATTGCATTGTCAATCTCTATACATGTTACTTTGAGCCTGAAAAAGGTGAAAGGACCTGTTTTGACCAGACGACGACATTTGCTAGACATACTTTGGATTGGCATGTGCTAACAAGCATGTCCAACTAGTGACAATAGAAGCTTGCCTTTATACCACGGGATTCACTGTCGGACTGTATCTTTTGCAATAGTTCATTTGTGTAATTTTCAAATTAATAGACGGAAGCTGCAGTTTATGTTCTTATTACGGGTGGAAGAACAAAATTGGAAAACTATAAAATTCTGTTGTGCTTTACATCATAACATGTATATGGTACATGAGACAAACACCACATAGACACCTGCACAAAACAGTTGCAACATGCACCCAAATCCAGGCAGAGAAGCTCTTTTACTGTTACTGGGAGAACAAGATCTTACCGGAGATGACTCAAACCCTATATATTTTTGGGCTTATTTAGGATTTTGAAGTTTACTTCTGACTTTAAGAAATAGTATGGCTAGCAACTGTCTCGGTGTTACCAAATACATATAGATTGCCTAGTGTATTGAATATAGTAGTCTGCCCCGTGGAAACTTAGTGACCTCCCATTTATTTGTTTGCCACAGAAAAATCATAACAGGTCTGGAGAAAATTTAGCAGATCAGTCTCAAGTTATGAACAATGGTTCGGGTAATGAGAATAATGTGGTTGTCTCACCAGCAATGCTCCCCAACACTCAAAACTCACTGGATCACATTGCTGGGCTAGCTACTCAATTGGTTCCTAATGTGCAGCAACAATGCATCTTAGACTCTATTGGGAGTGGAGTACCCACACAACCGTTGCAGGAATCTATTATTGATGTTCGGAACATGGCTTCTCGGCCGCAATTCCCATCGTTGGCGGGTATAACATCTTCAACCGTTTCAGATGGTAAACTGAATAAACAGGATGAACATAGTGGATCTGGTAGCATCTCAAGTGCCTACTCTCAAGGGTGAGCTCCCAGAAATATCTCTCAATAACTTTATTGCACCAGCTACCAAATATTTTTATTTTAATTAACATGTTTATCTTCTTGGAGTACCAACCATGTCTATGAGCGGAGACTTGAAAATAGTCGATTGGCATATTACAAGAAGTTATCATAATAAAGTTTTGGCTTTTTAGCCAAAATGGTCCCTGAGATTTGCATAACTTCTCACTTTGGTCCTTGAGATTTGAAATAGATAGAATTGGTCTCTGAGTTTGTCCACAATCAATCATTTTATGTGAAAAATCTTCATAAAATAAGAATAAAATTACAACATACCCTCAAATTTGGTCAAATTATTTTGGCATATTGTTTACTAAATTGAGGGCAATTTTGTTATTTTGATCCTTATTTAACATAATTTTTCACCCAAGGAACAAAATGATTGATGGTAGACAATCTCAGGGACCACTTCTATTGATTTCAAATCTTAGGGACCAAAGTGAGGAGTTGTGCAAATCTCAGTGACCATTTTGGCTAAAAAGCCTAAATTTTTTTTTTATGGAAAAGTAACATTGCGCTGTTTCTGAGTCGGTTTTTGTGTTGAGCAGGGTTTTGAACAATCTGACGCAAGCACTGCAATCTGCTGGTCTGGACTTGTCCCTGGCCAGCATCTCTGTTCAAATGGATGTTGCAAATCGAGCAAGCAGTGGGCTGACATCTGTAGCATCTAGTTCTAAGGTTCGTTCATAATCTCTAACCATCATGCTAAACCCCATTGTTACTGTGACTGCTACATCTGCTACCAATAGAAATTTACAATCTTTCCCTTTTGCTTTAATATTTGTTCGTTCAGGCACGTGTAAACCGATCCATGAACAATCAAATGATGACACAGGCTCAAGTAAGTACCTGTGATGGGGGATTTGAACCGGCTCATAAGCGGTACAGAACAAGAGACGGCTAGACTAGTAGATAGTTTCTAGCTTTTCTTAGTGTGTTATATTTGGTTTTCGTGGTTTTATTGGGGTTGACGGGGTTCTCGGGTAGGTCACATTTTGTTTGGAAATTATATTGGCAACAGAACAACTAGGCTAAAGGTCAATTGTATATGTTTTGTGCTCCTTTGTGCATGAATTTTCCGTAGATAGAAGTGTGAGATATTCATTTGTTGGTACTTTTGAAGTTTCAGATGGATGGTTCCATGCATCAAAAGTGAAGCGGCTTTCGGCCCTGTTTATGTTCTCTTGGATCACTCATTTCAACTAACATAGTTTCTCTCGCTCTCTAAACCACACTGAAGAAAAATTCTAGAATGAACTGGCTCATAACATGTACCGAGTTTCATAACTGTTAAACTCTTAGCTAAGAATTCAACGACTAAAACTCCCAAAACAATTTGTTCAAAGAAAACATTCATTGAGAAGTATTGCGACAATATTTCAAGCTAATTACGCACCCTCATATCCTTGAGGACTGTAATTCAATCATACAGTATCACGATTTTAAATAATAATAATAATAATTTGAAATAGTGTTACAGTAACATTTCTATTCTCCGCATTATATTAGGCATGATTTCTTCTTTAATATTATGCTTGGAAGCATGGGGTTGGTGTACCCTAACTTCTAAAATAATACATATATTTTATTTTGATGGGAACTAAGCAACCTAGGTATAACCGAAAAACTAAACAACGAAGAAGAAACATCGGATTCTCTTTGTGAGGATTCCAGGAATCCTCAAATCGTGTTCGTTTATCGTATATTGTGCGGTCAATTTTCTTCAGATACTATTTATATTTAATTTTAAATAAAAATATTTAAAATAATTTTTAACTGTACAATATACGATAAACTTATATGATTTGAGAATTCTCAAAAAAGAGGAACCGAAGAAGATTCTCATTCGAGAAACAAGGTTTGGTGCAGACTCCTAAACTAATAAATTAAGGATATGAAATGATGGGGATCATACCTTAGAAATATCAGCTTTCCAGATGCCATGTTGCTGTCAGCGTTGGAGGCTTTTGGCCCCACCAATCTCATTCGCCTACGCATGCCTAGTTCACCGCGTTCACTTTTTGTATTTTATCCACAAAAGTAATTGAAGTTTTTGTTAATTATTTTCTTATGGAATCAACATAGTCGAGATTTTTTTCCGGATTTTTAGTATTCAGTGTCCAAAGGTTCAGAGATTTGGATCATTGAAGAAAGAGAAAGATAGATCCAGACTCTTCATTTGTGTAAGATGGATCAGTGGAATAAACTAATGAGGACCGCATGATTTAAAATAAGTGGTTTGAATCTTCAAATCCGTCGGCTTCGAATACAGAGATTCACAGAAGATCTCAATTCCATTCAGATGATATGACCATGGATTAGTTCACCAATATCTTGTTGCAAAAAATGATGCTTACACAAGTACATGAGAGATTTTGAGGAAAGTGAACTACATTGCCCCTTATTTAATTACAATGATCTTATCTGGTATTCTCTCCATAAAACCTGATTTATTAATGAAAACTCTTACAAATTTTTCCAAATGCTTTTTGATCAAGAGCATCCGAAGCCGAGGGAGAGACTTACATGCACCTCTAGAACGCAGCGTGACGTCCTAAATCTTTCCCCCGAAGCAGTGGCTCCAAGATCAAACCCCCCCAACCCAATTCTATGTACATTAAACTACTGCCTGTGAAAAATTCTCAATGGTACAAAATGCAGATAATTTTGAAGGGGAAAAAACCAATCTCTTTGTCATGCTAAGATCCTTTGGTTCTGAAGGGTTCATCTAACAGCTGCAAACATTCATGTGGATTTGAGTAGAAGTAATCTTCCTCCTTTGGTTTATCTGGGATCGAAACTCGCTTCTTCGGGCTCCCCATCCGATTGGCGTGAGCTTCCTTCACAATGTAAGAGAACTCATCCCAGCTCAATGAGCCAGTGCTGAATTGTTCTATTAATCCAATCAGTAGCCTTCTGTCTAATAAAACTGTCTTTTTGAAACCCAAGAATCTGAAGCATGAAAAAAAGCCAAGGAGAAACTTATTTCTCGGATCAAAACATCATTTGAAATTAACAGATATTATCTTGCTAAAAAGTTAAAAAGGTTAGACGATGTTCTGAACTAGTAATCTATGGAGATGGGGATTGAACATGTATTTACCTGCGTTGGCCTTCAACAACTTTAGCCATGTTTCCATCGTACGTAGGAATAAATATATCACTCTCTAAGGAGACTAGATAGTCCAACGCTGCCATTTGGGAAGAGTGGTTCAGGAAAAACCTCAAATCCGAAGGCTCCAGCAGCGTCTCTTTTCTGACCTGTTGCACAAAAGTTCAAGATAACTGTTATGGCAGTCGTATGATGTATAATTGTTGAATAGGTTGCTTCTTCTTCTTCCTTTTACTTACCAAATTCGGAAAAGCAGCTTTTAAACCTTGCATCCTTCTGTTTCCGCCATACATTTCTCCAGAGGCGATATAAATCTGGACGTTGTGATCAATTCCAAGTGCAACCAACACCAGAGCAGTTTCCTCTGGTGTTAGGGGGCACAAGCCTTCTAGCCTTTTCGTTTCCGAATTTATGTCTTTGATCTTCCACAAGGGGTTAGCATATCTAACAATTTCCATAATTAAAAGAGGTTAATAATCGAAAAACTAGTAATGATTGATGCATGAAAAGATTAAAAATGGAAAGAGGATTTACCGCATTTTGGTGAGTTCTTCTTCCTCATCATTGCTGCAACCATGACTGCAGCCAGAGAATGCCAACATATCCATTTCGTATCGGAGATGAAGAGCCAGAAAAGGGCCCTTTTCTCTCAAAATCCTGAGAAGCTTTCTACCGATTTCCTCAATCTGGGAAGTGAATCTCAGAGCATGGAAATTAACCCGGCAGCGCAGCTTCTGGAACTCAAGAGGTAGCCCATTGTTAGCTACTCGAGCATCAGTTTTATTCAAATGTACTACTTTATACTTCTGCACCAGAGGCAGGATCTGTTGGAAAACACCTCTAGAAGTTAGTTCAATTGCTTAGAATGATCATAAACCAAAAAGGAAACAGAATGATGCTCGGATTCTAACCAACCTGATGAAGGTAGTAGGACATGTTAGACCAACTAACCGGTGGCATTGAGTATACAGTTCTTTTCCTGAGCTTCGGTGGCAATTTCCTTAATATTCGAACCTCATCTCTCAAAGATGTAATGAAATGATCAACATCAAAAATGTCCTGAAACTCACTGCCAAGTGCCAACACAAGGGGACATTCAGATTTTCCTTATTCATAAAAAGGGGTTTACAATGAGATTATGGATTCCTCGTAATTTTACTCGAAAACAAATTGACCTACCTTGCAGCCCAAAAGGAGTTTTTATCTAGCTCGGGAACTATAAGTGTGACATTCAAGTATCTGGCAACTGCAACCATATCACAGATCTGCAGGAAATCGAACAATGAGCAAAATACCATGGAGGTGGGAGACAGAACCGCGATAAAATATCAAAACCGAAGGAAAGAATGTTCAGAATTGTGATGAAGTAGGTAGCTAGCAACTCACTGCCGCTCGCATTTGATTCAATCCTCCATTGCAAGAAACCATGAGATAGCCATTGTTTTTGTAGACCCCTGAAACAAACAGCACCAGTAAATCACAACTTTTATTCATCCAAACAATTTAGCATGCACAGCAACTGATTAGAATGAAGAATGAAAATTCAATGTACTCCCTCAAACATCAGTTCTCTAAGGAGAAACGATTTCCGCGCACAATTTTTCTGGCCCTGCCCCTGCACACCTTGTTTATTTCTGTTCTTTCGATTGAATAAACCAAAGGAGAAATAAACAAGGGTGTGCGGAAATATTAAACACGAAATCAATCCAGATTTTACATCAAACAAGAACAAAACATACTCTTTGGTGGGAGAACAATTGGCATTGGAAGCTTGTTAGCCAATTCAACGGCATGAACAGGCAACTCCAACTGAGTGCAAGGACGCCAAACATTGAACAAACTAGGCCCCCTAATCAGCCAAATCCCAACCAGCTGCACCGCCGACGCCCACACCAACGCTGTAACGATCGCCCGGATGATCAGCAGCCATGAGTTCTTCAACACTGAGCTCTTCAACCTTTCAACTCTCCTTATCAACTTAAATCCCACCTTCATTGCTTCTCCGTAATTAAACTTCTCAAAGGCCTCAGCTTTGCACATTTTAAGGATCTAAAAAACTCATTCAATTTTTCCACTGATCATTTAACCATTCAACCATTCAACTAGTCAACCATTCAACCGTTCAAGCACCAAACTTGTTGCAATTCAACATAAAATATTTCACAGATGAAAGTCAATGGATGCTCGAGTAGTTATTGACATATCCGAAACCACCTCGAAAGAATTAAAAAAGATTAAATCTTTCTTGGTTCTGGTGAAGTCCGGCACTAAAATAATCAAAACACAACACCCAGATTTTCCCTGGAACCACCCCAAAAAACCCTTTCCCCCTCGTACGGCTATGAAGCTTCCGCCATTGTTGAAAAGCTTCACCAATCAAAACCCAGAAAGGAAAAACAGTAAATCTCCAAAAAGAGTTCAAAGAATGCAACTTTATGACCAATCTCGACAAACCCAACACTCACTTTGCGTTGCTCTTTGATTTTCCGGTGTGATTCCGGCCAAGAATCCGGCGAGCGCCGGGAAAGTTGAAGAATGTGGTGGCTGGAAAGAGAGTCGTAGAAGTTTCAATGAGAAACAGAAACAGAAAAAAAAGGGCTGAATCAAGGCTGGAGAGAACGCATCTATAGCAGGCCGAGCCAAAGAAGAACACCAAAGACTGAGATTACAATCTTTCTGAAAAAAAAAAAAAAAAACCCCAGAAATACTTGGTAAGAAAGGACAAAGATGAAATCAAATACAAGTCACCCTTGTTTTTTGATTATTTTTTTAGATTGTTGTTGGTAGGGAAGTGGATTTTGTAACCAGAATCTAATTACAAATAACTAGAATTAATGGATGCTATACTCACGTGTCAGTTGTTTTGCCGTATGACCAAAGTAATTCGTTTTTTATATGTTTTATTTTGTCAAATATGTTGACTCCTATGAACAAAATTAAAACCATGTTTACGTGACTTAATGATGTTTATTTTCATTTGTAAGTGAGAGTTTTAATGTTTGATTTTTATTTCTGATGGTAACGACTTCAGTACTAAATTATTATGACTTGTCTATTGTGTAGTTTACTCAAGCCCCCGCTTCTTAGCGTAAATATATTTTAAATTAAAAAATAGAACTTTTTGTTTTATCCCTTGTTAATTTAGAGAGAATTAACTTTCTATTGAAGTGTATACAATCCACGACACTCAAAATTTTGTCTAATTTGGTTGGGTTAGGGTAGGTGTAGTTTCCATTGTGGTAAAATGGATGCATTTGCTCTTTATTTTAACTTATTGGTTTTGACATATCATTCATTTTACCTAATTAAGTAAAGTTTTTGTACTATAGTCTGATGATATTCTTCTTCATTTAGAAGTAAGAGATCTTAGGTTGATATCTTATAGATGACAAATTTGATACCAAATTAGGTTTTTCATTATGTGACTTAGTCAAACTTCCCATTCTTTTAGTATAAAAGTATATCGATGTATTTAAAAAAAAAGAAAAAGTAGAGCTTCTTCATTCACATTGGGAATTCCAAAGTTGGGAATATATATATTGATAAAGAAAGCTGAACTACATACCATATGACTTCTTCGAAAAAATCAAAGACACAATTATTGTAAGAGGACAAAGTTTTTAACCATCCAAATATTACTAGTTAAGAGATTTCCATTTTTTGTACAATTGATGCCAAAACAATCAGGCTAGGTAATCCTTTGGGTAAAAGGTACAATCATCTATTTATTTGGGGCCTTTTCGTTTGCTCATTTCAAAAAAAAAAAAAAAAAACTAATGAAAAGGGTTTGAAAACTTTGACTTTTAACGATAAGGCTAAAATAAAGGATAAAATAAATAGTACCATGATTGACTTTTTAATGTAAAAATATGGTTTTTCATTAAAGTGAACAATACCGGGAACTTTTCGTTAAAATTCAAAAAAAAAAGAAGCATATATATATATATATATGAGACGGAGACGAGATACTACTTTTTTTACACATAATGTATTTTAACGATATGAATCATCGACCTCTTAAGTCTTTCCTTAAAAAAAATTATGTATATAAAATATCAACAAAATCTAAAACTATATGACCATTGGATTAAGGGTTTACAATTTCTTTGTAGAATTATATTCGTCCATTTTCTTCACTACAAATGAATATTGTAATAGTTCTGGAATTGTCTAATGTTTTTGGAAGGATGATATGAATGGTGTTCTAAAAGAAAAATGGCTCGGATCGTTAAAATATATTACGGGATGAACCTCACAAAATGTTAAAAGATTGTGTAAAATAAATGGTGTCATGGATCTGCACTATATATATACATATATATATATATATTTGTTTTTTATAAAAAAATGTTGAAAGTTCAATTGAGTGGTTACATTGTTTTACATTGCTATTTTATTGCTCTGCAATCAGCATTGCATTTTTAGTGATGGGCAAATGAAGGTAAACCTTGTGATTGCCACTTGCAAGTCTGCAACCTGCAAACAGTGATGGGGCAATCTGCAGAGCTTAATTTAGTGGTTGCGGTGCCTGACTACTTCCCTGTCACCACATATGGACATTAAACCAACACAAGTTCTGTTTTGGACAGTTTTTGGCTAGCTGTTAATAGCTCTCAGAGATGTCACTGTGATAGTAATTCAAGCTAAAACATTATCATGTTATTTTATAGTATATATAGTGTATGATTGACTTACGATAACCGCCGCAGTAGTGACTTATCCGTTGTATACAAGTTTGTTTTCTTACATTTAGGGGTAAAGTAGCCAATTGCCTTGTTATTTCTTTCATTTAAGTCAGTGAGAGTCCTGTGACCGTTTGTGCTCATGTTTTGCTTAGAGAGAGAGAAGGTTTGGAGTTTGCAATTGTGACACATGCCCGTGATATCTGTCAGTCTTTTGACAGACCAATTTGGTTTTGAATGTCATTTGGTCTGAAAATGCAACACACATTCATTTGTTTATGAGAAAGCGAATTCTAATCCATTATAATGAATATTCTCTCCGGATTTTACTATCCTAAGCTCAAAGATAAAGAATTGCGGACCAATCAAATTGAATCATGCGGTCCTCATTAATCTATTTTACTGGCCTACTTCACACAAAATAAAGGCCCGATCTATCTTTTGAACGGTCTGAATTTCTTGGTTCTTAAACTCTGGACAATGAAATCTGGAGAGGATCTCAACTCCATTATATAAAACAAAAAGGTAATTCAAGCGTTAAATTAACTCACATAACTCACATCTACGTCTAAATATGAAATAGGTAACATGTTTGTGCTTTGTTCTTCCATCACTCATCATTCACATTGACTTTTTGGTCAAAAGTGAGACTTCTCTTCATTTTGTTGTGCTTTGCCATGTAAATGAGCGGTGCCCTCATCTGAGTCGTGGGCAAACTATGAACTTTCGCCATAAAAACTATGTGTAGTTCAGTTGCTCTACACGATCAATGATTTGCGTACAAGAATCATTCAAGCGACCATGGGATAATTAAAGTGATTTTTATGTATTTTTTTCACATAGAAATTTCTATAACATTGGTATACTGTCATTGTAGTGTCCGTTGTAATGATACAAAGACATGTATTTTTTACACGGTTTGTCACAGTTATGGTACCCCCCCTCCGGCGGCCGCAAGTTCTCATTTGGGTGGCGTTTGATCATCTTCAATTGATTCGATCCGACGATCAGAAATTCAGAGAAATATGTAGAAGGTAAAAAGGGTTGTGTAGGTATCACCATCCTTCTCCTTTATCTCCCCCTCCATACGCTATTTACTCTCGTCATTGAGTTGAACAAATTTAAAGTGGTCTTACTTATACTTCTATGACCTTTTCTTTTTAAAAAAAATTATTCTTATTAAAAAGAAGGGAATGGTTAAAACTATTAGAACAATTTAAGAAATGAGTGTTTTAAACCTGTGACGTCTGAGTGAAAACTCAACATCCTATCCACTAGGATATTGGACCACATGTATTTTTTATTTTTATTTTATTTTTAATACTTGTACGACTATATCTTCATCAAAAATCAATTAAAAACTGTGAATTACGTCATCGTTGAGTTTTTGCGTGATCTTTTACAAGTGCAGTAAAATAACATTACTGAGTTCAATAAGCAAACGTTGGTGAACATTCAGCATAAATGTAAAAGGGCTTGAGCGATTTGGGCTTTAAGGCCCAATACAAATATTCAAATGGGCTTGCCTGGTAATTAAGATTGAAATTTGCGTCCCAATCTAGGGTTTTGCAACACTTTTTCCCCCATTTTTTCTCCAGCTAGGGTTTTAGCTGTTTCATCTCTCCATCTCTCTCTGCGGAGAAGGAAGCATGAGGGAGCTCAAGTTTCATGAGAAGAAGCTGCTGAAGAAAGTTAACTTCTTGGACTGGAAAAGAGAAGCAGGTCACAGAGAAACCCAGGTTCTGCAGCGCTACCATGTCACCGGTCGCGACGACTACAAAAAGTAGGATTTCATTTTTTTTTCCCTTAATTTCATGTCATTTTTTTCAGGTTTTATCAGTCGATTAATCTTCCGATGAACTGGGTTTTGTTTCTTTCCAATTAAAAATTTGAAAAAAAAAATTGGAAAATAGGTACTCGGGTTTGTGCCGGATGGTGCAGAAGCTGGTGCACATATTGAAGCAGTTGAACCCGAACGATCCGTATCGGATCGAAATGACCGATATGCTCTTGGAAAAACTGTGAGTCTTATTTTTTGTGTGCTTCTGATGCTGCATGTAGTTGAATTGATATGTCAGTTGAAAGTATTAATATTGCAAAGCTACATAAGAAACCCTCATAAAAAGTTGCCGAATTTTGGTCAGTTAGGTCCTAAGGAGTGTTTCTTATGGACATTATGTGTTACACTATGGGTTATCGAAAAACAAAGTAGTGATCGAGTCGAAATTTAGAAAGTTCAACCCCTCAAGTTTGGTTGTTATTGTGTTGACATAAAGAGAGAGGTGTTTGGGATGTATCGAAATTGAGAAACTTTACCCCCGAATTGTGTTCATTATTGTGTGACATAAAAAGTTGCCAAATTTTGGTCAGTTAGGTCCTAAGGAGTGTTTCTTATGGACATTATGTGTTACACTATGGGTTATCGAAAAACAAAGTAGTGATCGAGTTGAAATTTAGAAAGTTCAACCCCTCAAGTTTGGTTGTTATTGTGTTGACATAAAGAGAGAGGTGTTTGGGATGTATCGAAATTGAGAAACTTTACCCCCGAATTGTGTTCATTATGGTGTGACATAAAGAGAGAAGTGTTCGGGATCTATTCAAAGAGGTTCCGGTTGTAGATGACTTGAATATTGTATGATCCGAACTCAATAGGGTTATGTCTGTTTTAGCATCATCTTAAGTGCTCCGTGCTTAAAAGGTTTATGTTGATGACAGGTACAATATCGGTGTGATACCATCCAAGCAAAGCTTGGCATTGTGTGAACGCTTGTCGGTGTCATCCCTTTGCAGGTAATCTTCTCCTTCCTTACGCTCAATGAATTCTTATGAAACTATTGACAGAAAAGTTTGCAACAAAAGTTAGAAGACGTTCTGCCTTGGTAATTGCTAGTGTCACTACTTTATTTGACACTGTCATGAGTGATGATGGCTTACCATGTCTACGTTTACAGACGGAGGCTTTCAACCGTTTTGGTTCGATTGAAGTTTGCTGAACACCTGAAAGAAGCTGTCACATACATCGAGCAAGGACACATCCGTGTCGGTCCAGAAACTGTTACTGACCCAGCATTCCTCGTGACAAGGAATATGGAAGATTTCATTACATGGGTGGATTCATCGAAGATTAGGAGAAAGGTGCTGCAGTACAATGACAAGCTGGACGACTACGATGCAATGAATTAGGGCATCGTAACTTTAGGGTTCTTTCGGCCTTCTTCTGTTGGTGGCCGAAAAAAGAAGAACCACATTTAGTTTGCCTGGTGTATCATGTATTAAACACCTCAGATGGAGGGTTCCTTCTTTTGTTTTAAACACATTTTTCTCTACGGGTTCAATACATACATACTTATCAAGAATTTCCTATTGAAATGAGTTCGGCTTCTCTCCTAATCTCCTCACTTTCATTGCTAAGTCCCGTAATAATTGCAGATGTGTTTGGAAATGCTTTTAAAATGATTGAAAGCACTTATGATGAAAATGTTTTTGAACTCAATTTTTAGTAAAAATTTAAGTGGATCATGAAAAAGCATTTTGTGAGAAGCACATATTTGGTTATTTCTCTAAAATCAATTTCACAAAAAACGACTTCAGTCGTTTTGAAAGCAATTCCAAACGATTTGAAAGAACTTCCAAACGAGTCTATAGATTGATGAGTTAAACCGATCTGCAAGCAACTTCCCACCAAACCTCGAAATTTGAAGAGAAGCTTACACTTAAAGTAAAATTGTCAAAATTGTCGCGGTAGACTCATAGGGCGAAACATATAAATTTACCAAAATTGCAGATTTTAGGGAGAAAAAAAAAAAATTACACTACCAAGGAGCCATATGCACACAACACACTCAAGAAGATACAGAGATATGTACGTAGTTTCAAGATTCTGAACCCCATTTTTCATGGGGTATGTAATTTTACAAGTATCACTATCGCCTAAATTAAAAGAAAACCCGGCAGATACTACGACAGCAACGCATACGACGCCGGTAGCTTAACCCAACTCTCAGCCTCTCCCCGCATCGATTGCTGCACGTACAAAGTCCTCGCAGTTGGTAATGCCACCAGACAGCACATCAGCTAATACACCAATTATGTCAAACGCCTCCTGCAAATCGCTTGCCGAACTCATCTCGTCAAGCCACGATAGCATTTCTTTCGATAAATCCACCATCTCCTTCACGTTCAAAAGCCGCTCTTTCATCACTACCTCCCAAGCTTCCAAGCTTCCACTGTCATCCCCCTTCGATACTTTTGATGTACCTTCTGCTCGGGTGGGTGCCGTATTTGCCGGTTTTTTTACCTTGAAGAAACGTTGGAGCTGCTCAATCAAGCCAGTGTAGACAAGCATTGGTCGAATGACGGACAATAGCTCATCAGCACCCCCGATCTCTGCACTAGGACTTTGGCTTGTATTACCAGACTCTATCTTGACTATAGGAGATGAACTGGATGATGTGCGACCTGCTGACCGGCCATGAGTGTGCTGCATGTAGGCATGGTATATTCCACGCTGCAAGAAGGCACGGCGGTGTTGCAACCAAGATTCATGAGATTCCGAAAGAAGTGAATTCACCATCATAAACTGGACAGTTTCTTCAGATCCCATAGACGGTTGTTTCTCAGGAGTGGAAGGCCTAGAATCTGATGCAGACGATGACAAATATGCTTTCAGAGACTTGGCTATTGTATTACGTTGAGATGGGCTTCCCTGATCAAGAAGGTGACGTGCCATTTGGATCATGAAAGGAAGAAATCTGGAGTTGCTTTCCCTTCCGCCACCCCTGCTTTCTGCACTAAATGATGCCCCGGTCGCAAAACGAGCTAGCATCTACATAACAAAACATTCATAAATATAAGGTCCACATTCAAGATAATATACAACAGAAAGGTTAAATAACAAGACAGAAAAAAGTGAAGGAAAATACTGTACCAGAACAATGTCATAAGTCAACAGCCGAAGACGGCTCCCATCAGCACGCCCAAGAGCATTGAGGTTGTCCCAGAACTGGTCAACATAGCGAATATACTGAGGTAAAGGAACAGATGGACCTCTCACAGGAAACAAAGAATTGCAAAGAGATTCATTGTTTCGAAGAGTTGCTCCTTCCCACTCTTTCTTTGGATTCTTCAGAGCAGCATCTGCTCTCTTGGCTTCCTGATGGCACTGGAAATGAATAATGTTGAAATAACTAACAGTTGTATAAACACACTCCCCACGTGCGCTTCCAGAAGTCCCTGCACCTAAATTCACTCGCTTGCTATAAGAGTAAACACCAAGTAGGTCAGTGGGCCTCAAACTGTAACCCTCTCGGCAAACCATGCATGCTAAGCCATCCTCCTCTTCTTCCTCCACGTCTTCTAAACCTTCAAGTAATGGTCGTGAAACAACAATACGCTCACCACCGTCTGACGCTAGCTCTTGTCGCATTCCAAGACCCTGAGTATTTGGATACGAAAGGAACCATCAGTTTCACCGCTAGTAATTAGTTCTACTCATTTTCTCAATACAAATTACCGAACATCAAATAAGAAAATAAATACATTAAGGACTAAATTCTATCCTAATTTACCATGAGAATCATATTGCTTTCACTCGCTGACCCTAAGGAAAACTAAACTCCTGTTTTAAGTCGAGAATAGATATTTTCTACCATCATTTTCCATATCAAATTCAGTAACATGATAACAATCTACTTCAGTAGGCACCTGCTTTCATATAATTCATATATAAACTATAAAAAGAATTTTCAATTACTATTAAAAAATGCTCAATGAATTACCTGAAGCAATTCCTCTCTTTTCCTTAGAGCTCTACGCCTCATTTCATCCCTAGTGGCATGTCTCAACCTCCGCACCTTCTCCTCCAAAAAGCCATCTCCTTTTCCCTCCTTATTTGAAAGGGTGTCCAATAAGTTTTCAGCCCTTGCGCCTATCTCGTTTTCCCCCGAGACCCCTTCCAAAGCATGAAGCAAAGGTAAAATTCCTCCCTCATCAATACACTTTTGAGTGGCCAAATGTCCTGTTGACAAGCCTCTCAGCATAGACAATATCAGTGGGACAGATGGCAGTTTTAAGCCTGTTGCCCATTCTGCACTAGATTTAAAGCCAGCCTGTCCTGCAACTGAAAAACTATCACTCAGATGTCTAACTGCAACGCCAGTAATACCCCTCTCAAGAATAATGTCTTTCAATCTGTCTCCGCAGGAACTTGTTTTAAGAGACTCAGATACCCTTACAAAATTTTCCAGCGTGAACCTCTGCTTGGCAGCTTGCTGGGCGATGCTTTCATCCTTTGGGTCATCTTCATGTTCTCTTTCCAGCCGGTCATATTCCCTCCAGTCCTGCAAGGGTGGGCTGAAGTGCTGGATAAGCGCTTCCATTGCAGCAGGTTCACCATATGTCAAGTAGGGCAAGATTCTTGCAACCATCTCATTGTTCCTCTGCTGTTTGTTTGATTTCTTAAGGCCCAAAGGATGAGATAATCTCTCCAGAAACATGAGGACTATTTTCTTGGCCTGTTCACCCGTCTCTTCACTAGTGACAGTAAGAGCACTTTGTGTGATGCTAATGTTATCACTTTCATTAGCTTCCAGAGTCAGACTCTCAACAATGAGAAGTATGCCTTCAGCTGGCTCCATGGCATCAACAGAAAAGGCACGTCTCGCCGTTTCAAGGAGTAGACCTAAAGCTCCTAACCTCAGCAAAGCTCGCCTGTTCTCTCTTATTTTACAACAATGCATGAGGAGATTTAGAACAGCTACCAACTGCTCTTGGTTGGACTTGAAATCATCTCGCAGACGCTGTAAATCATATTAAAAGTCAGTTATTTCAACAATATGTAGCAAAAGGTTTCACTTCAAATGTCAAGTAGGAATAATGAAATAGGAAATGCACCTGGATCATGCTCAATATAATTTCCAGCCCACCATACTCACGAACAGCACCTGCAATGGCAAACTCAACCTCTGGATCTTGTGACTCCTCTCTATCTTCTTCCAATTCTTTAATCATAGGCTCAGTTGCTTCACCATCTAAGCCCTGGAAATTGTACCCAAAAAGAGAATAGTTATGATCAAAAGAATATCAAGGTAAGAGTCGCAAGACCAAAAATAATAGAAAACGTGACGTATTGATCCATTAGGAATAAATGATGTCAGGTTGCATTTGGATGAACAATTTTGAAATATGAGATTAGTTTCAATATCAAGCTTAAGTTGGCTGTTATAATGAGTACCTATCTTTAGATTTTAGCAAAATTCATGGATTGATTCAAAATTTAACACAAAATGAATTTAAATGATTGGGTGAAGCATAACATCTTAAATCTATGCTTTACATGATCTGTTAGAGATTATACATGATTTGATAGAGAAATAACTTTGTTTTTCTATGGAATTTAAATGTCAGTTTTGTTTGAACTTCATTTATGCAATTTGAATGGAAGTGTGACCAAACAGCCTATATATCATATATTGGTACAGAAATGGAGAAAAGGCGACTCCTTTGTCATTTAGAAGAAAATCCTTATCAGTATGCAGACTTGTACATGGGAAAATACACAGCTATAACAAACCTGAAGCCGATAGGTCACTGTCATAGGAGGAGAGTCTCTAGCTGATGGGACAGCATTAGGCGATAACAATGTCGTATTGGCCATGGCATTCGAAGATTGACTTGACTTCTTCCAGACTTGCTCATAGACTTGAGCTATGCTCAAATCAAGAGAGATGATGTTCCCAGCAACTAGCAATTCCATCCCATAGTCATCTTCAACAAGACCTAGCAGATCCAACTGATGGCAAATTTTGTTCTTGACATCACGCATCAGAGGACCAATCTCAGAGCTAGAATAGGGATTCTTTGTCATAGATCCCCTGATGAACTCTTCTTGTGTATGTGCCTTGTTAAGAACCAGCAGATACACTGGCTCTGGTTTTGATGGGCATATCAGATTGCAGAGCTGCTCCAGGATAAACTGTTCATATAGTTGAATGTTAGTGCTGGCACCTAAGTCAGTGAAAGCAAAACAAAGGAACCCCATGCTTACATATACAGAAACACAACAAAAAAGAAAGCGGAGAACACATGCAAATATGAGAAGGTGAGCCTTGTACCAACTATAAAGAACCCAAGAAATATTGGCTTTTATCTAGACAGCAAAAATTTTACCTACTACAAAAGTGTAATTAGGTATCAGTACATTATAACTTTGATGAGTTATTTTGATAAACCAGTCTTAAAGCATCATTTACAAAGCAGAGAAAACCCGAATGTTAGTTTATCATCCATACCAGACAAGTTCGTCCTTTTCTCTCCTCCCCATGGTTTTGCAAACCACAGACGCAGGCTCTAATGAACTGCCGTTTATTTTCGCTGCTTTCAAG